GAAATTAAATAGTAAATATGAATTGCTTATTTTAAACGCTTATCCGATGTTATACTTACGTTAAAAAAAATTGCTTGAACAATTTATTTAAGTTCTTATATTGCTTATCTTTAAATATTCCTTATGCTCTGTAACAGATTTCGAGGAGCTCTCCAGACCCAATCTTGTTTTTCTCTCTCTTTATTATTATTATTTTTTTCCTTTATTATTCGATTACTTCTGTATTTTATTTCGAAACTTATGTCATAAAGATCTGTTAGTGTTGCCAAAAATGGATGAACGAAAATATAAATGTACATTCCTTTTTCTATTACTCTTCTTGTACATAGGGCGGATGTGCCATTTGTTCCAGTTATACCTTTTGTCATATTTGTGCCCTTTATCGCATTTATTCCATTTATTACAGTTATGGAACTTATGGAATATGTCGAATACCTGGGATATGTACTATAAGTGCCTTTTCGTGAATCTATGGCATTTATTCGAAGTATTAAAAATCTAATCACTAAGTATCAAATATATATGTATAAGCGACAACTTTTCACCTCTGAAATAAAGTAACTTACACGGTTCAACATTTCGAAAGTAATAGCGAATAGAAGTATTCAAAAACTGGTCCTATTTCCCCTTGAATTGATAACCATGTTAATAAAACCGTGTTCCCGTGATTGTAGAAAATTCGATCGAAGAGAGTCAATCCTTTATATATACCCAGACGTCATTGATTAACCTTGAGATTTAAGTAAATTTGTTGTTCCAGACATAACGACGATTAATAAGATAAATCAATTAGTGTACACGTGACATTGTGAATTTGATTCACGAATTGAGTTAATAGTAGAATTAATTAGTAAGAGTAATATAGGAAATTAGAGTACTATATTACTAAGAAAAATCGAATACTTATCGTTATTTATCAAGACCATTTACGGATCCCGTGACCTCCGCAGCAAGTTTCTTGGTGAATAATCCTAATTTCACGGTCCAAACTCAACACACGCCTCTATTGAAATGACTTATATTATTAGAGTTAGTGTAGATTTAATAGATATGTGTAACCACTACCATAGAAGCTTAGGCATCATTCACCGCTGCAGCTCACAAACTAATTAACGCGAATAAAGGTTAATAATAAATATCCATAAATTGAATAATTATTTTAAATCAAAGTTCTTTCTACTCTCGTATTAATTTAACACGAACAAATTAAATGGTAAGTATTAACCCATTTGAATTTACTTGAAATAAAGAACTGCTGGATGAATTTGATTTGTTCGACCCGGTTCACCATACCAAAACGTGAAAGTTTGACGGCGTTTATATCATGAAAAATTGAGCGATCAATTTTATTACCGGTGATATAATGGGCAAAGGTGAAATCAGAATTATTGACGTGAAAATTGATGATCAAGGGAATCCCGATTACGATAAACAAAACTATGAATAATTCTGAAATAAAAGATATCGACTAAAAAGTAATGTAGATACTATTGTAAAATAAAGTGCGTTGTCCTAAATGTTGAAATCGTTAGAGGTTACAATCAATAATTGTTATGTATTATAAAGAATTTGAGTTTGGAAATTTAAAACTTTACTCACCAATTGGTAATACAATGATAAATTTAAATTGTAACAAGATTAATAAATGAAATTAATAAATAAAATCACTGAAAAAAGACATTAGAACTTAAATTTTGTTCTTGACACAACTTGTTATTTAAATTGCTGTATAATAAAATTCATTTCTAACATATTGGTTATTTGAGAAATCATGTGAAGTCGAAGAACATGTAGAGTAACAACGGTGTACAAAATGAACCTTTGATGAATTTTCTATAAGACTTATTGGATAAACCCGATATCACCGTGTGTTTCCAGCTGTTGGTTTTTCATAAACTGGACGTTGAAGAATTGGATCAAGTATTGAGCATCCCGCAACCAATCAACCCAAATAAATGAAAAGACTAAATCATCATTATATTTATGCGTAAATATCTCCTTTAGTATAGCGTAAGATAGACCGGTTTCTTCCTGAATTTGCACAATATTACTACAGGTAGGAACGTCCCAAATAAGGAAATGATGATCCCGATCATGCATATTTGTTCAGCCAATTAAATCGAAAAT